TACCACTGGAGATACACCTATGCACGATTTTGTGTGATTTTCCTCTTCCCCTTTCCCCATTTCCAGATGAAACACTGCCTGTGCCGAAATTTGGGACAGACCAACTTCTGAGTGCTTGCAACTCCACATTTTTGCCACCTTTTTATTAAACCATCTGAGTTGGCCAATGAGGCGATCCCTTGGCTAATGGGCAGATGAAAACACAGGGATTTATTCTTCTCTTGGACTGCTTTATATTGAATGAAGCTGCTCAGTGAAACACTTATATAATAATAAAAAACTCTTAAATGCAAGGTGCCAACATGACATCTTTATTGCCCTCCCTTTTTCTTGCTTCCCAAGTTAAGGGGTGGTTGATCATGCAAAAAAAAAAAGTAGTGTTTTTCCCGTAAATCTTTTTAAAAATACTTCTTTTATGGAAGAGGAATATGGATGGTGAGGATAACTACTGGATTCTGTAACAGTTCTGAATTACCGTGTGGTTTTTTTGATCAGGTAAGCAAGACCAGGGGAAAGAGTTGTCTTGGTAGAATGTACTAGAAACTTGGCAGAATGTTCATGAGGTAAACTTTGCCATCTGTCCTGTGGGTGTGGCATGTAGTCCATTTCCCACAACCTTACTAGCCATTTTGGGGGAGGAAAGGAGGGGAAAATGTCAGGGTATTGCCCAAAGAATCCAGAAGGTTTTTTAAAATTCAGTTTGATTTTTTCCCCTTTACAATTGCTGGCATTTTTGTCTTAGGATAGATCTTGTGAGGGCCCGAGTCTTGCTAAACATAACACAATTTCACCTCAAACTTACTTGTGAAAACTGACAGGGGTGAGGAGAGTTTAGTTTGGGGGGGGGATAAATCCAACTGACATGTTTCTCGACCAGTCATAGAAAAGCCCCTCGTGTGGCATGTTAGGAGGACAGAAGGGATAAAATGCTTAAACAAAATTTTATTGGCTTAACATTGCAAGCAATGTTTCATGGTCCTCAAATCCACATATTTAGTTTAAGGAAAAGACTTGCCAGGGAAGACGCTTGATCCAGCACATCTGTTTTGCTTATCTTTTCTAACTATCATGAAGCCAAGGAGTTCCTGCAGAAATTGCCTTTTATGTAGATGTGTATGTGTGGGGCTTGAGAGTAATATTGTACTGAGCAGTTATAACTGTACCACTGTATAAATAGAGTCTTCTGATTTTCCTCCGTCACCACCACTGCTTTTGAGTGCTCACTTTCTGTTCATTGTTTTAAAGTGTATTCAAACTGTTAAAATACCAGATGTAAACATGCCAGGTCTTCCCCTGCCGTTCATTTTATTTTATACAATACCATATACATACCACAGGATTCCCTCCCCCAGGGCTTTTTTTGTAGAAAAAGCCCAGCAGGAACCCATTAGCATAATAGGCCACACCCAACAGGAGAAATTCATTTGCTTTTAGGACATACCCCTGACAGCACAGCTCATTAGCATATTAGGCCACACACCCCATGTTCGCAGAAGTGTAGTCATCCAGACACACTCACCTTTTGCTTCTTATTCTGTTTACCTTTTTTGTTGTCAAAACCCAGGGCTTTTTTATAGCAGGAACTCCTTTGCATGTTAGGCCACACATCCCTAATGACTTTCTGCTGTTGGGTGTGGCCTATTATGCTAATGAGTTCCTGCTGGGCGTGGCCAACTCGGGAGCCAGCTGGAACTCTGTTCCTGTGCGTTCCTGCCCCAAAATAGCCCTGCCCTCCCCCCATCCTAATTCTTTTCAGTAACTCTCTAGACTGCCCTCCCAAATGTTTAACACACAAGCTTGAAAAGAAGTGTGGTGAGTCTTTTGGTATTTTTGAGTGTGTCCTAAACCACTTACACCTTTGAGATCTTAAATTTGGATTCACTAGATCAGCAGCTCAAGTTGTTCATAGCTTTGTAAAGGCCCATCTTTACCACTGTATTCCTAAACGGGTGTGCGGGCGGGGGTGTAAATAATGGCAATCGTACAAGTTTTAGCTGGTTTCAATCTGCCTGTGAGTCCAAACAGAAAGGTGTACTTATAGAGGCCCATCCATATTATAGAGAAAACATTCACACCTGTGTGTGCAGGAAGGAGAGATGGCTAAAGGCCAAGCTAAAGGATGCTCAGAAGATACATGATCAGCATCCCAATGGGTTTTTTAAAAACTAAACAGCTCTGTTTGCTCAAAACCACTCTTCCCTCTTCCAGATTCCTATCCATGAGGTAAAATACAGGATTGGAGCAAGCATTTGGATGGACAAATGGCAGGAAGGGAAGAAGTTAAGTAGGTCCCCCTCATGTCTCCGTTCAAACTAGTGGCCTACAAGAGGCTATTTTCCCTTCTTTGATAAAGAAGTCCTCACTTGCTCTGTAATATTTTGGTTGTCCCCAAGATGGCGCCCATCACCAACAATTTTGGTGACTGAACAGAAAACTCATGGGGGGAGGTTCCTAATTATTTGGTAACATCTTTTTAGTCTCAGAATTTGGAGCTTCTCTAAGGGGTAGGGTTTTTTCCCCCAGTCCTCATGTGCTAAAAGTGTAAACTTAGACTTCAGTTTATGAAATAGAAAATCCTGTTTGTGTTGAATACGGTGCCTTAGTGGGCAACACTCATTCTCATTATGTTTAGGGTATAAATCTGCTACAGGGATTTTAAATTTAATGGTTTCTAAGATTCCAGTGTTAAGAACATTTGAGATGTGAGAAGCAAGTCCCATTGAACTTGGAGGGTTTCCTTAGACCAACTTCCTCAATCACTAGGCAAAGTTTAGCCTTTCCAATGTCACTGAAGTCCAGTTTATTATTGCTGACCAGTTTTCTGGGGACAGGGGACTATGTGGTTTTACTCCTTCTGACCTGATCTACGTTCATTTCTACTTTCTCCCCATTTTCCTCATAGAATGAATACTTTGGTGGAACAACCAGCTGTAATCATCTCCTCAGCCCCCATCTCTCTTGTATTTCTTTTCTTTCGAGACGTTTCAAAATTCTAACAATGTATATTAATTGTGTTTTTGAGACTTAATATAGTAGCTAAGAATTGGGAATGTACAGTTCATATTTTACCTCAATCATTAATTTGTTAGGTAGCTTCACGCAAAACCACTTGCCTGTCATTCGTACATGAAAGATCTGGGGAGTGTATGGAATGGATGAAAATATTGATCCACTTTATAGGGTGGTTTGTAAGGTCTGCTGAGGTGTAATGGCTTTAATTTGGATGAGCATTTCCATGGACAGAAGGACTTCAGAGTATGACTTTTCCAGCTTACCCATCCTACTGCAGCCCCTAACGCCACCCCCTGAAACATTTTTCCTGGGGGTCCCCAGGAGGGGGAAGGTGTGAAAGTCATGCTCTGTAGGTAGAAATCCTTCTCCCCATTGAAACAGTAAGGGGCATCCAAGCCTTAAGTATATATGAAGCTTGCTAGAGTATTTTTAGTGCTGTGGAAATGCTAACTCTTTGAGACTTGGAGGGGGGGGGTACAAAAAGTTAAACTTAGTGGTTGCTTGGCTACACATGTTTTTGGGTTGTTAAAAAATGAGCTTTAACTTTTTCACATGTGCAATTGTCTTGTAATCCCCAAAGAAGTTCTGTATCTTTTTTTTTGCAGCATTGGAGCATCACGTACACCATCTGTTCTGTGTGAAGCCTTTATGGACTTGAGACACTTTTCTAGAAATACATTTGAGTAAATAAGATACTTTTTACTAGTGACAAATAATTCAGAAGGGTTTCTCCAGTCTCAAAACTTAACCACATTATATTTCTCATTTGATGACCAAGCAGAAATTTCTGATGCGGCGGTAGCTGGTTATAGCATCCAGAAATAACCTTGTACTTGTGTGACAATTCATTTGTAGGATCAAAAATATCTAGTCACACAACAATTGCAACGTATGGTGGTGCTCTGGCAGGAAGCAAAGTATAGGCTGGTGCTGAGCAGGAATTTTGACATCTTGTTAGCTATCAAGATGCCCCAAGATTCTCCTTTTTACATTCCCAAAATAAGTGTGTTAAGCCTGATTCAGGTGGAATATGCTTCATACAGAATGAATGAATAGGTGGATTGTGCTATGAGCACAACAATGCCCCCTCCCCTTTACAGTTACAGTAGCTGTAGGACTTCCCACTCCAATTGTTGTAATTTATGTTAAATGGATAGGCATATTGCAGATCCTGTGCTATGGTAAAGTAAGTACCTGTTAATGAAGGCCCTATGTAATAAACTGAATGTCATTGATTTCCCCTGTGCATCCCAATAAAATTGAATATTAAAATAATGGTATCCTTCCAAATGTTAATGAGACTGTGCTTTGCTAGAGTGTTTTGTCAGGGATTCCCTCATCTGTGTTGACAATGTTCATTTCTGGAAGCATGCCTTTAAGCCTCCAGCCTTCAAATCCTGGCTTTGCTGTTTCTTTGTTTATTTGTCAGCAATGTAAGACATCCTGCAAGCATCGGAGCATACCCGGCAGGCTCCTGCCCCTTTGTCCTGCAGTTGTAAGGGAAGGTGCTTCTTAGCAGGAGAAAGATGTGGTCGCTTTCTTGAAAAGGCAGCTTTATAGGCGGAATTATGTCCTGCAGAGTGTCTTGTCTTTTGGTCCAAAATCTGAACCACGTTTCACTTGCACAAAATGATGGCTGACACGTAAGGCCTGCATGTAACCCTATATACAGTGATGCGTAGTGGAGGATATCTGCATGCAGATGTGTCAAACTGATGGTTGGCCCATTCTGCTTGGCTCTTGCCCACCCCCCAGCCAATCTAATCATTGCTATACCAGGGAGGATTTATGCCAACTGTATGTTCGGACTACAGACACCGGGGTCTTGATCAGGTACGTGGGCAGGAATAAGCTTTTAGCTGGAGGGCAGTTGGGACTGCCTTTTAGATCGTGAAGCTGCTATGTGTTTAATAGGCTTAAGAATGTTTGCTCTGT